TATTATATATATACGTATGTATATATATATATATATAACTTTGTATATATATATACATATATATGCGTGTCTGTGTGTGTGTGTGTGTGTGTGTGTGCCTGTTTCTGTTTCTGTCCCCGGTCTCTGTGTGTGTATTTATATATTTGTTTGTTTGTCTGTATATGCGTATGTATACATATAAATATATACGAAATCTTATCTCAATAGCGCATCCATCATATATTTTTCAACTCTATGCATGTATACTCTCGTCTAAATCTATATAATTGATCGGTTTCCTTGTTAGTTAAGGTAAGTGTAGTGGTGTCTGTGGGCTCGCAGATAAACATGATATGTGTTTTCAGATATCCTTTCCTTGACAGGGGGCCTACCTCCACTCCGTCACTCGTTATTTGTGTACTCATCCTTCATTCAACTCGATATCCTGCAGGAGAAATGGGATCTACAGAAAATAAAGCCTGGTTACAAGCAACTGATTGACAGTCGCACTCAGGTGCTAGGCACCTGGGACGATCATGACTACGGCCAGAATGATGGGGGACACGAATACTCTAATAAGTCTACCAGCCAAACCCAGTTTCTCAATTTCCTCGATGAACCAGAGGACAGTGTGAGGTGGCAGCGCGAGGGTGTATATGCATCGTATGCGTATGGGACGGTGACAGGCGCGTGCTCGTGATTCTTCTGGATGTGCGGTGGGTGAGCTCGATACCATGTATATATATATATATATGTGTGTGTGTGTGTGTGTGTGTGTGTGTGTGTGCCATACATATTTTCAGTCACTGGCCACGTTTGGCCAATAAAAATAGTTGAAATAGAATTGTACATCTTATTGGGGGGTGTATGCGGTTGATCTATGCTAGTTGACCTTACAAACCGGATCATCCCTCTTGCACCAGTCTTTCCACAATGACTATATCATAGGGTTTACGGTTTTGCATGTATTCATGCATTGTAGATAGGTGGCATACTTCAGTCTTTGAGTGGCAGTATCATGCAACAGCCTCGTATCGTGCACTTTATCGCACCTAATGTTCAACCCATGTGTCCCTTGCTCGTCCATGTACTGCTGTATCCCTACGTCGCGTATAGCAAGCAACAAGCAAGTGTTTGTTTGTTTTTAGTTCACATATAGAGGTTAACGTGATTTTCGGTGTATGTTGCCTGTTGTATTTGATGATCTTGCACACATACCTTCTTGAGTTATTCCAACCTGCAGCACACCCTCATGCTACATGCATTGTGTACGTGTTTTGCATCAATACACTATTACACGCTTTTTAACTTTTATGTGATCGTCTTGACTCTTATATTTGCATATGCTCTCCTCAAAGGCATTTCTATTGTGGTCATCTCCGCTGTGCTAATCACTTGAATGATCCTTCACATTTGGTATACACCTCTTGTTCAATGAGATCACTTCTCTTAGCTAAACACCACAAATGCTTCACTCGGTGGTACCCAATTGCAGATACCATTTCATCCGTGGTATAGACACTATCGATGATGCGGATTTGATTATAGACGACGTCTTGGGCGCAGACCAGTGGAAATGGCTGGAACTTCAATTACAGGATCCTGCACCCGTTAAACTAATCGGGTCGGGTATACAAGTGATTGCCAATACAATTCTGGGTAAGTTTAGGCCCATGTATATATATAT